ATCTAACTATTCTATTAGTATACATTAGAAACACATGGAGGGGTGAGTTAAGGCACAAATTGCTGGGCCCAGCCCTCAAAGTCTGATGCAGGAGGTCTATGGTAGGACTAAGAATTTGAATTTCTACCAGGTTCCTAGGTAATGCACACCAGAGAGCACAGTAGAGCCAGGAAGTACCCTGATGTTGCCAGGTGGGACTTTGAGCCCTAATCGGGGGTTATGGAGTGCTATAGAGGGTAACGGATGTCTGAGACATCTTAAAAGCAGGCCACAGAGCTCTGAGCATGGGTGTGAAGGGAGCCACCAAAGGCAGGTGGTGTAAGAAGCCCCAGTGATGTGACTTAGTGTACAATAGAACAATCTGATTGAATACAGCTAGGACTCAGATTTTTGTGCCTTGCATTTCAAACTACTATTAATTAGCATTCTCAATATAAATCAACATCTTTCAAATGGTTGAAGGGCATTTGACTTACAGTGATTTGGGAATCTTTGCCAACCCACTCTAAAAACACTGAGTTTTTCCAGATCTTGGGGAGGCTTTCTTCACATTTCCAAACTTTCATCCTATAATGTTCACCCAGCTAGAGCTTCTCCAGCCAACCTCTGAACTCAGGGAGACTGGAGGGTATCATTATTCAAAAAACATAAGGTCAGTATTCACTTACTGGAGGAATTGTGGAGAATTCCAATAAAATGGCATCGTTTGAGAATCTGGCTCATATTGTCACATGTATATATGGTTCTTAGTGAGGTACATTGTGGCTATGGAATTCCCATTTGGGAAACAGAATGTTCCTTCCACTTAATTTAACCATCCCTTCCTTCGAGAAGCCTAAATAGTCACCCATGAGAAGGTAGCATAAATAAAGTAGTAACATCATTAGCATAATCCAGGACAGGGCCTTTGCAAACCCAAGCCAGTTAGCACATGCTTAAAACAAACAACACTTCTTTACAAATGAGTCACAGCGATGTAACAGGATGGAATGTAATACAGCTAGGCAGGTCATATAGTGACACCAGATATGTAGTGATGGGGTGGTGGAGCCTACCTGGCCAAAATCCACACTGGGATGAGAGATAAATGGAGCACATTCCCTAGACGGACCACAGGGCTTCTTTTAAACTTGTTGGCAACAAGCTGAGAACAGTCTGAGGCTGGGGGATTATTGGTTTTCTCTCACTGCCAAAATTCTTGCCAAGCAAACTCAGGTCCTGTTACTCTGGGCCAGAGCAGCTCATGTCCCCTCAGGACAACCAGATTTGGGATGTTCTGAATGTGGATGCAGATTCATCCATTCGTTTCAAAGCACTCCCTAATTGCCCACTGTGTTCCAGGCCCTGTCCAGGCAGGGCGGTTACAGAGACTAGAAGTGACTGACCGTAATAAGTGCAGATCATCAACATGAAAAGCTTAAAAGCAGCCACTGACTTTGTCATATGGAGGTTTAGAAATGAATAGAGGCTGGTGGTGTAGCTCAGCAGTAGAGTGCTTGCCTAGTAGGTATGAGGCCCTCAGTTCAGTACCCAGCACTGCCACATAAATAAATGATTGGTCCTCCTTTGGCAGTCACCCCTATTGTCAGCAGGCAAGAATGAAGAAAAGCAAGCTAACTTTGCCTCTTTTACCTTCCAGAATTAAACATGAGTAGGAAAGAAATTTCACCACAAATGTGCTCAAAACTTCTGCATTCGAGAAACAAAGGATCTGTGATTAATTAAGCCAGAGATTCCCTTGGAAGCTGAATAACAAAACATTTATTTCATGAACAAGCCTGGTGTGGTGAGAGGGTGGGAGCTCAGAGGAAGTAGGCAGAGAACATCAGGTAAAAATGACAGCTCTTGTTTACCGGGCTTGCTGTGGGTCTGGTACTCTTCTAAGCAGTTTGCATTTATCAAATTCATTCATCCTCACAACTGAGCTGTACAGTGGATACTGTGATTAGCCTCATTTTTTGGAAGAGGAACCAGGTACAGAAAGGCTGGGTTACATGACCAAGATCACCCAGCTGTTTGGTAGGAGCCATGAATTGAACTGGGCCTGCATAAAGGGCTTTGGTGCCCTGATTTCCCCTGTAGTTCCAAAGGGGAATGTCTGGCGTTCTTGGCAGAATGGAGCTGAGACTAAAAAGCCTGAGCCTGAATCCTGATTTTGCATCTCAGTGGTATGTGGTTTTTGATAAGTTATTTAAATTCTCAAGTCACTTATTTGTCAAAAGGGACTTGCAATGTCCTTCAAGATTATTATGAAGATGTGAGGATTAAATGAAGTGAAGATAAAATCCACTCAGTATGTCATGCTGAGGAAAGAGCAGCTTTGCCTGACTACGGTACGTTCCATACCCCTGAGTTTCAATAAAGTTCATTGGAAGGGTGACATGCTGCCTAGAGAAGCATCAACGCTGTGAAGACATACATGTTAGATGTCTGGTTCACCTGTGGCTGGTGTAAAAGCCAGGAGGTTTCTTCATGTCCCAGAGCTTCTGATAAACTCAGAATGACTTGCTTTGAAATTGTAGACAATGCAGTCGTGAGGAAATTAGCAGCCTATGTCACTATAGTTGTAGGGAAATTTGAGGAGGATGACTGACCCCTCTTAGAGCAGAAAGAAGTCTCATCCTAGCTCAAACAGTGACTAAATGACATGGAGGTAAAGAAGGGCTCTCCTGAAACTGACACTGAAAAGTGGGAAAATGGATTAGCATTTCATAGTATGTTAGAACTGAGAACAACTACATAGAAGTCTGAAAAATCACCTAATCCCACTATTCTCCTAATGCTTGAAGTGTTTAGAAAAAAGAAATCTTCACTTAAACATTCTATGATTCTTTAGTTCATGTGACTGTTAATCATGATTCTCAACTTGATTGGCTTGAGAAAGCCTAAGTGATTCATAAAGCATACTTCAGAGAGGACCTGGAGGGGTCAAGGAGATGTGACCTTGGGGACTGTATCTAGTCCCTGGCTTCTTCCTCTCTGGCTCTTTCCTTGTGTCTCTGCTCACCTGAGGTGAGCAGCTTTCCTCCAACAGGCTTTTCCACCATGATGTTTCTGCCCCAGAACCAGCGGACCAAGTTTTGAAATCATGCACCAAAATAAGCCTTTTCTCCAGTGAGTTGATTTTCTCAGATATTGGGTCACAAAAATCTGACTAAAAAAAAAAGAAGGGCCAGGGATTTAGCTCAGTGGTTCCGCCGCCTGCCTCGCAAGTGCAAGGATCCGAGTTCCATCCCTGGTACCAAAAAAAAAATCTGACTAATGAGGTAAAGCATACTGTTTTCTTGTAAGCATTTGCAGTGCTCCATTATACACCCTGTGTACCAGATGGGGTTTCCTTGCTTGAGCAGATTAACACATCTCCTGGTACCTGCTACACAAGAGTCTGGTGTGAGTCTATAAAGAAAAGCTGAAGGCTCTGTGCTGGAAGCCCAAAGGAACTGGAGACCGACATCTAAAGGTGATGGTGTAGACCAGAACTTCTCCACAGAAGCCAGAAACCTTCCTTATCTCTTCCCATTTTATTCTGTCCAGGCTATTCGCACGTTTGTTAGTGCCACTCACACCCAGGGGGCTCTTCTCACCTTCGTTTGCAGCCTGCATGTGAGTCACCCACGAACACACTAGGAATTGTGCTCCATTGATTATCTGGGCAATTCTCAGTCCATTCAAGTTGACATCACAATTAACTGTCACGCTCGGCCACAGGCTCAATGCTCAGTCAGCATCAAACTAATTAATTTTGAGAGTTTTCAAACAGACTTGGAGCACTTAACTCAGAGTCTACACAGTTCCTAGCATTAAGACTGTAAACCAGTACACAAAGGCCACATGTGCTTTTGAGTGCAGGTACACAATTTTCATGAACTCTGCATGGGATCTTTGAACAGATGGAAACATATACATATTTTGGGAACAATGCTACCTCTAGAACAACGGCCAAATATACTGGTGTAGATCCCCCATTTTAGAATCAGCCTGGTGAAAAATAAAATAAGCTCTGAGAGATCTGCAAATAAGAAACTTCCTGCTGAGGACAGAAAACACTGGGACTCACTGCCCAGTTGGTTGCTTGAACACAAATAAGCAAATAAGCAACATGTACACACCAATGTGAAAACAGTGTTCCGCCGTTTGGTATTTCTAACATAGGTATCAAAGCTCTTTCTATCATTGCTCTTCCATCTGTTCCAAGCATAGTATTTGTTAAGAATCACATGTCATGGTACAGTGATGAAAAGACAAACAGTACCCTAATAGCCATATTAGGTTAATTAGGTTAGCCATATTAGGTAAGAATGGAAGTGGTGAGTGTTCCTGATACCTAAGAGTTTATAATCAGAAGGTGTCAAGGAGAATGGAGGGAGGGAGGCCTAAGAGCGGAAGGATGAAGGAGTGGGTTCCAACTGGGAGAGGGAAAGGGGAGAATTCTGGCCCAGTGATTTCCATCATGAAGAGGAAGAGAGAGAGAGGGCAGTAACTAGAGTAGTGAAGTCTTGTTAGAGAGAAAACCCTTAGGGCATTATCCCTCCCTCCAAGCCTAAGGAAAGGAGCTTCCCAGGACAATTTGGAAACATCATCCAAGTCCCCCTAACATTTAGGGAGCAGTGAGGGCTGGTCCTGATCTGCTATAGATGGAATAGCAGATAGTCCTCCTGAGAAGATCCTGAGAGGCAAAGCCCAAATCAGGCTGAGGCTCTGGTATTGAGCCACCTTCTTGGAAAGCTGAATACACCAACAGATCCTGAGTACAAAGACCTGCCTATCCATCGTTGCCTCGGTGGACCAGCCATTATCTAACCCTCTTCACTTCCCTCCAAAATCATCCAAAGCCGTACTCTGTAATCCCTGATATCTGAACATGCACAAGGTTAAAACTGCAGCAAAACAGTCACCTATGGGCAATAAGATATAACCGTAACAGTGTGCTTAAAAATATTTGAGAATTTTTAAAAGTTTGAGATTTCTTTGGGTCCATTAAGTGGTATAGTCTGTCTTACCTTGTCATTGCTGGGACGCAATACGGGACACCCACAAATTGAAGGAGGAGAGGTTTATTTTGGCTCACAGTTTGTAGAGGTTTCAGTTCATAGTTGGCTGTTTCCAAGTCAGGTCAGCAGGGCAGAGGGGTGATGCAGAGGAGAAAGAGCTCAAGGCAGGTGTCTTGATTACTTCCTCATTGCTGGGACAAAATATCCAACACCCATAAGTTAAAGGAGGAGAGGTTTACTTTGGCTTACAGTTTGTAGAGGGTTCGGTCCATAGTTGCCTGACTCCAAGGCACAACAGAGGGCCATTGCAGAGGAGAAACAGTCCATGACATGGCAGGAAGGAGGCACCAAGCAGCAAGTCTCCCTTCCCCCTTTATTCCATTCAGGCTACAAGCCTATTGGTTGGTGCCACTCACACCCAGCATCGTCTTTCCCATTATTCACACCTAGAACTATGCTAAACCAATCAATGGACTAATTTAGTTATCACACATCTTTAATCCATATTCATACCCATGATCCAGTCACTTTCGAAAAGCTCCACCTATGAGCGCATAAAGTTTTGGGGGAACATCTAGATACAATACCTAACAGCAGGGAAGGCAGGAAACAGAGAGGGACCAAGGGAGCAAGAGGGATATATACCAGTGATGGTGAACCTTTTATATCTGCCAATGATAACAAACATTCTGCTGCAGCACACATGCCATAGGTTCACCACCACTCATATATACCCTTCCAGGCCATGCCCCCAGTGACCCACCTCTTCTCACCAGGCTTTACCTTCCAATCTCACCCTTAGCTATACACCCATCAGTGGACTGATCCAGTGATGAGTATCACGCTCGGGGTACAGTCACCTCCCAAAAGCCCCACCTATGAGTGCATGAGGCCTTGAGGGCTATAAGTCATAATGTGGTGTTTGTTTGCTTGTTTGTTTGTTTGTTTGAAAACAGCTATCATGGGAAATGGTCTTGCTTGTTAATACAGTTATTTCTACACTGGAACAAACTCAAAAAGCACATAATGGCAGGAAACATGGAATAACCACAGCAAAGAGGACCCAAAAGTTACACTTGTTTTTGCTATTTAAGGTTGATGTCACCTATGCACCTATGTCCCTGGGAAATCATGTCTACATTTTAAACACAAGAATAGCTAATATCTGATCACTTTACTGTCACTATGATACAGCATTAATTTAGCATTTACCATGGGCCAAGCATTGTATTCAACCTCGGAATGTGCTCCTTTACAAAATTACAGTTGTTAGGAAAATAAGGTGGGCCTGTCTTCTCCCTGCCTCTCTTCCCTGCCCTGTTGTTCTATGCTGTTACATCTTGGTGCTTGCGAAGGTTCTGCCTTCAAAGACAAGTTCTCTTTGTTCCTTCTCAGACATACAAATACCATGCAGAGTTCACCCCAGGGAGTGACATCAAGAGCTCCCCGAGTTCACAGACCAGGCCCGTCTCTGCAGCCACTCACATTGGGGCAGTTAACTGTTGTGCTCTGCACATTTTTACATATGTTCAAAAGTTGGAGTTTGATGCCAGATTTTATATGCAGGGCACTATAATTTATATCACATTTCCTGATTTAATGAAAGTATTTTTTTTAAACTTGTTAATTTAAAAAAAAAGAAATCATGGTGGTGGTTGCTGTTGTGTAGAAGAGCCAAGATCCAAATCCAGATCTATCTGGTTTTATGGGCCATGCTCTTAAACATAAGATCATTAGTTCCCAGAATCATATTCTCAAACAATTCTCATATTTGTTTACTATTTGTGAGCAAATATTTCCTCCCTTCATTCCGACACACACCCACCCAGAAAGCTATATACCGCTGGCTGGCCTCCTTGTCGCTGCCCAAGGAAACAGCTGAATTCCCTGCCAATGCTCTAGTTGTGAGAAAGCTTTGTCTGCACTGTTTCCTGTCTCTTTCACAGACTCTTCTCCCTTTGTCCAAGTCTTCAGTTTCTTGGTTCCTGGAATCCCATCTGCTATGGCTTGTATCTAGACATTCCCCTAAAGCCTCATATTTTTTCAGAGGTGGCAGAATCAAGAGTGTGTGACTGATTCTTGGTGGGGCTAGGCCTGAGGGCACTAGGCTTAAGAGTGTGAGTGCTACCCACCCTAAGTAGTCTGAATAAGATAAAAGGGGCAGAAAGACGCTGTTAGGGTCTCTTGTTGCTTTTTCTGTCTTCTGTTGCCATGAACTGTTGCCCTTCTGTCACCCTGCCCTGGAGCCAGCCGATTATGGATTGAAACATCTGTGAACTGTCACCCAAATAAACCTTTCTCCCTTTAAGTTTGGGTGTCGGGTATTTTGTCTCAGCAACAGGAGAAAAGTAACTAACACACCATCTTTAGCCCAATTTTCCTTCAACGTCTATGCGTTTTCCTCCATTCCCGTGGCTTTAACCAGTAACCCTTTGCTTACATCTCCCAGCCCTGTGGTTCTGGGCCAGGTCTCTCTCTTGAGCCTCAGATTCTGTATCTTCAGCTAGTTTATTTCTTTTCTGCCTCAGTTTATCTGCTGGATTATAAGGTCCTCAAAGATGAGAACATAGCTCATTACCATCATGTATCCCTCCAGGACTTGTGATTACAGTAATCATTTACACTTTTAATACACTTTTAATACAATGTATGAATAAGTAAGTGGATAAGTAAATAGATTCCATTACTGTATATTTAATGAATGACAAATTCTGGTGAAAAGAGAAAAGATTTTCAAAAGAAAAAGCCATGTATGACTTTGTCTTCCAACATAGAAGAGAATGTGCCAGAGGATAGTGTGAAGAACGTTGGTTCCCACAAGCTAGAGCAGATTGCTAAAAAAGTGACTTGGTCAAATACATTTGACAAACACTAGATTAAAACAAATTAAGCAGAATTTCTTGGTGCTTTAATACACTAGCATATAGTTCAATTGTCCGAAAGAATATATTCTATATTTTTCTGCATTTGTTAGCTATATTTGAATGGATTTCTATTTGGGTGTGTTTGTTTAGTGTACATTAATTGTTCCGCAGACTGAGGTTCTGTAATTAAAAACTGGAAGAAATATGCCGTAGAATGTCAGAACATTTCTTATAAGAAAACAATTATTTTTAAGAACTTCAGTATCAACCCAGAGGTTGAATATCAATCAGAGGTTTTGATGTTTTTCTGAGAACAATTTAGTAAGTCTATAAAGACCACTTGGACACAAAAGAGACTTTGACCTAGCAGGAACCACACCCCAGCGTGTGTGGGAAAACTTACAGATGTGCATCAGGGCTGCCAGGGTCACTGTCAATCAGGCCGCTGGTGTCACCGCGCTTGCTCTGTGGAGCATAGCATTTTTCTGAGTCCACAAGTTCTAGTGAAGCTACAGTTATGAAGCCCACACACACTGGCTCTTAACTCCACTCCTCTGTGGGACCTGGGGAGGAGGTGTCTCCTTGGGTTATAGCAGCTGCAGGAAGCACAGTGACCTCACATCCCCCTAAGCCAAGAAGCCTACACAAGGTCAGGCCTAGAGCGACCATCACTGGACAGAAAACACACAAATAATCTACCTCTTTCCACCCTGGAGAGTGAGTTCACTGCTCCGGGGAGCCCAGTTCTCTGTGCATGCCAGGGATGTCAGGGCTAAGGTGCCGGCACTTCTGACACCCTGCAGGTGCTTTACTCACAGGACACTGTGCATCCAAACCAGATGGCAGTGGAGGAATAGACGCTCAGCTCTAGACCTTCCCTCACTGTAAGTTACAAGGCCTATGGGAGACAGACACACCCATTTTTCTGGACTGGGTTATATGGAAGCTGGGCCAATCATAGTGGGATAGATGCTGGGGTAGGGTGGAGAAGGACAAGAGCATCTCTTGAGATTTTTCTACAAATAAGAATTCCTGACAATAGCTTTTCATGCCTGTCATCAACAGTTATTCTCAGGGTCGTGGAAAATCCTGCCGTGTTGGTCAGACATGGGGGTGGAGTGGCAAAGTTAAAAGAAAGCTTTTTGGCTCCCCATGAGATGAGTAGAGCTGTGTAGACCAGGAGAGGGGCCCAGGCAGTGAGTTGCATAGCCTGGCACCGGACCTGGCATTCCTGTGCCCTACCTGGCTTTTTCTAAAGCCAAGATGCAAAGAGAACTTGAAATTGATCTGTATTTTAGTTCCATGGAAAATGATGTTTTGGTTGTTATTGCTGAGTTGTTGATACACTTATCCTGGAAAATGGAAGTGAATAAAATGTTGACATTTGAACTCTTCCAAGAAAAGGTTCAGGATACCCATGTTTCAATGGCCTGTTATTTTGTCATTTCAATCTTTTGAAGGCCAAGGCCTTTCTGTGTCTAGGAGCATCTCTCTCTCTCTCTCTCTCTCTCTCTCTCTCTCTCTCTCTCTCTCTCTCTCTCTCTCTCTCCCTGTATGTGTGTGTCTCCCTCCCTCTTTCCTCCCCTCTCTCCCCCCTCACCCTGTCTTTCTCCTTCTCTCAGACACAGTGTTGTCTAAACTTGCAACCCTTCTGACTCAGCCTACTGAGTAGCTGGGATTACAGGCCTGTGCACCATGCATGGCTAGGCAGAATCTCTTTATCTGCCTGATGTCAGATGAGCTATCAGGGACTACAACATGGCTACCATAGAAAGATGTGCCATTAAAAGGATAAAGTCCCTTCAAATCTTGAATTCCACTGGCTGAACATATGTCTGAAGCCAACTGAGGTGATTCCGCTCTTTAAGGAAAAGGAGACAAGGAAAACAAGAGGGAACGGAGAAATGAAAGTAGGAAATGGAAAGATGGAATAGGAAAACAGGAAAGGAAGGAAGAGCAGAGGGAGGAAGAAAGGGAGAGACAGAAAAGAATAGGAGAAAACCAGGGCTAGTCAGGAGCTCACTGGAATGTACCCAATAGTGAAGCTTCCTTCTTCTCCAAAGAAAAGTGAAGGAGGAGGCTCGCTGCTTGCTACTGGCCCTCATCTGCAGAGGCAGCCTCCCTGTTGAGGCGAGCGGACAGTGGTCCATGCTCAGCCTGCTGTCCCTCGGTCTGAGTCACAGGCCATGCAGGGAGCTGGGCTGCTCCAGCAAATCCATGGAGGGTGGGGTGTGGGTATGCAGACTGTCCCTGCTGCTGCTCAGGAATGTCCCTTCAGGAAGTGGGTTCACTTCCAGGTCACCTCCGTCAGGACTGGGCGGATGATCCTGGAAAGCAGGGAGAGTGACCCAAGGTTTGAATCCTGACTCCAAATACAGCGTGTCAGCACATGTATTTTCCTATGGGGACTTAGCGTGTCCTTCAGGAAGCTGCAGAGAAGAATGTCCTTCTGGTGAAGATTCCTGTCCATGGGGAACAGTCCCTTCTGGGCACACAAAGTGCTTGTGCCAGAGAACAGGGAAATGCCTGCATTTCTACAAAAGATCTGCTGTCAACACCCAGGTCTTGGCAGGCCCAGGGAGAATCAGAGCTAAGAGTCTAAATACCTCATCCTCAGCCTCCCTGGGGCCAGCACTGCCTTCACCTGTCATCTACAGGCTCACCCAGGACTCAGCCGCCCCTGAGCATGCTCAGCTCCACGGCCTTCGCTTGTGAAGACTCTAGGCTTTCCCTACATTTTTCTCATCACCCAGCTGAACCAAACAGCTCTGCTCCAAGGAATTCACCCAGTCGTTGACTTCAGAGGACACTTTAGCAGCTGTCCCTGCAGTGGAGTAAGTAGGACATGGCCTTGGGAGTCCAGTGACCCGGGTTCAATCCCAGCTCTACAGTCACTTACTGGGGACCCTGGAAGAAAGTGACTTAACTTCTCTTACTGAGACTCAGCCTCCCCATGTTTGGAGTCATGAGAACAGGCCTAGGGTTATTGTGAGGGTTAAATTGTGTCATACTTTTGAGAGCAATGAGTTTTATCTGCCAGTATTATCCTAAAGAAACCACTGAACAAACACGTCTGGAGTACACTCTGAGTGCTTCCCAGTGTTTAGCACATAGAAGGCTGCAGCAAGTGGATAGGATTCTCTTCCTTATCTTTGATGCCTCTCTCAGTGCCTCAAATGGGGGAGCTTATTTTGGCCATTGTATCAGTCAGGGCCATGGCAGGAAACAGATGGTGTGTTCCCACTGAGGAGATCCATAAAGGACCCATTTGCAGGATGATTAAGGGAGCCAGCAAGGAATGAGAAAGCATGATAGAACCAACCACAGCAAAAAGGCACCGACTCCCAAGATCTGCAGGGTCAGAGAGCTGCAGCTAGAACCCAGCTACTGCTGGGAGGACAGCTTGGAGGATCAAAAGCCTTCAGTGGAGGAGTGACAGGGAAGACTCATGATCCTCCCACCTGCTGATCTCTTGCTGGTAGCTGCCAAAGGCCAAACCCAAGTCCGCCAAGGTGGCCCATGCAAGTCAGCTTCCACGAAGTAGAGTCCAGGAAAGTAAACTGTAGTACCAATGGGAAATCAAGGGCAGCCATTAAGTCTCCCAAGGATTTATGTTAACAGCCATCATTTCTAATTTCCTTGGGTTCTCCAGGAGCTTCATACTACAGAAGTCAGGATCTTCTCTAAAAGACCTGATGTCAACAGAGAGTTTGAAATTCCATCTCCTATTTCTTCCTGCTGGGAGGGTTTAAACATCTGGTTTCCATCTGTTCCATGGAGTTGATCCCACAGTTGCATCATGCCTTGCTGCCCTTCTTCATACTATAAATTTCTACATGTAAAAATCTAGCAGTGAATACACACACTTTGCATACTTTGAAAAAAGGAAAAGGTGAATCCAGGCACAAATTATCTTACAGGAATTTTTTGAACTTTTGCAATATGCGGATAATTTTTAAATAAATAATATTTAAACTCTACTCATATATTCATATCATCTTTGTTATCTCATATAATATTTGTAACAAGACTTTAAAAAATCCTAGACTTGAAGGAGGAAATTAGTTCACCTTTGAAGTTCTGGCACATCCAAGGCAGGGGAGAGGCTGTGTGAGTTACTGGGAGCCAGCTCTGTGGAGCCACCTGGTCTTGAAGGTCAGCATTCGCTCTCCAAACACTGCACCATTGCGTTGGGGCGGACACCTGCTAACTGACATCCAGTCAACCCCAACAGCTACCAAGAGGCCCAAGGCTTTACTGGACATAGAACACAGTGTTTCTCTTCAGGGTTGGCTTCATCTGCTAAATAAATGCAAAAATGCATATGAGGAGACCAGAGCCATGTTCAAATGAAAGAAGACTCACACTGAGGCATGTTTAGGTCTTCATAGTCCTGCTTCAGCCTACTGACCTGGCCCTATGAAGATAGTGATGTTGGGAAATGGATGTGAGCCACGAAGGGAATGAAGAGGAGAGCCACGAATTTTACAGAGTTTATATTGTTCTAGAACCTACACCAAGTGCCTCACACTGATCATCGCAGTTCTCCCCTCCCCACAAATAAGAGTATGTTGTAGATTTCATTGTACAGATGAGGGAAACAAAGACAAGGAGTATTAAGTTACTTGCCCAAGGTAACAAAGCTGGTAAGTGGAAGAGCTGGGATTGGAATGCAAGCAATCTAACTCCAGACTGTACTTTTAACCACCAGGTAATTCTGCTTCTGGTTACATTCCATATTGAAGGTACAAGTACTTTCCAAGTAAAGAGCAATTTCCATCAGAAAATTAGATATTAAGTAAATGTTTACTTTTACTTTCTTTCACTTTCTTTCATTTGATCTTTTCCTGATTATAATTAGAAGTCAATATGTTAGTTTCATAGTGAAAAATATAAACTTTATGTCAAAATGCCATTTTGGGGCCTGGTACCATCATGGAATTATGAGTCCCCTGTGGCCTATCCCTGCCACAAAGTCTAGCTACAAACCCTATGCAGAACAGAGGCCAAGAATATACTCACCTGGATTTGGTCAGCTGATTTTTCAGCAAAGGTCACAAGGCAATTCGATGAGGAAAGATCAGCTTTTCTAACAAAGTTACCAGATCAATGAACACTGACCCTTCCCTCTTCCCATACAACAGAAAGTAATTTTAAATGAGTTACAGACTTCTTCATAAAACTTTAAATCATGAAATCCCCAAGAGAAGACAAAGTAAAAGCTTTGTAACCTTGGAGTTGGTAAGTTATCTTAGATAGAAAACAAAAAATAAGAGCTATTATTTTATAGATGTTTTTATCAATGGTACTTGAGTACACTTTTTTCTTTCAGAATAATTTTAAAAGTATACAGGTAAGCCACTAGCTTGGAGGAAATATTCAGACAAAAGACTTGTACCCTAATGTATAAAGAACCTTTACATCTCAGAGCTATGAAGACAAACAAACTATTTTTAATGGGTAAAAAAGTAAGACACACTTCAAAAAAGATCTATGAAGGACCAAAAGCACAAATACAGATTCTCAATACCATCAGTCATTGGGAAAATGCAAATGAAAACTATGAGATGTTACTCCAAACCCACCAAATGAAAGTCTGATTAGACCAATGTTGGTGAGGATGTAGAGTGACCAGAACTCTCACAACTGGCAGAAATATCAAATTATACCAAATTTTTGAAAATGTTTGACAGTTTTTAAAAATGCTAAACATAAAGCTATTACATCACCCAGCCACTCCACACCTGAATGAATGAAAATATATGTCCACATGAAGGCTGGTGCATGAATATTCATCACAGCTTTTTGTGTAACAGCCAAAAAGAAAAAACAACTCAAATGTCCATCAAGAATAAATAAATTATACTATACGTGTACAATAGAACACTACGCAGCAGTAAAATGAGCAAACTATCGATACACACAACAATACAGATGAATCTCAAAATGATTTGTGCTGAGTAAAAGAAGACAAGTGGCCCTCAACAAAGAATACATACTGTATGATTCCATTTATCCAAAATTCTAGGAAATGCAGAGGGAAACATAGTGATGAAAGTAGATGAGTCATCGCCTGAGAATGAGGGTGGTGGGAGGACAAATTACTAAAGTCTGATGGTCAGTCTTCTTAATTGTCAGCTTGAATGGACTAAGAGATTCCCAGTGAGGCAAGTGGACTGTGGGGGCACTATCTCCATCAACTGATTGGCCCATCAATTGATTGATGGGTTCATAGCTGAATGTGCTGTTAAGAGCTGGGGCCTGGTTGGAGGAAACAGGTCGTGGGGATGGGACCTTGGTGACTATATCTGGTCCCTGGCCCATTCAGTGCTCTTTATAACTCTATCTGCTTCCCAGCCAGCATGAATTGAGCAGCTTTCTTCCACCACGCCCTTCCACTATGATTTCTTGGCTTTTAAACAAGCCAACTATCATGAAACCTCTGAAACTGTGAGCCAAAGTAAATCTTTCCTCCCTCACATTGCAGATGTCAGGTATTTGTCCCAGCAGCATGAAATCCGAGTAATACATACGTACTGTAAGGAAGCTTTTGGGACTGATAGAAATGTTTGTTATCTTAATTATGGCAATTATATATATATATATATTTCATTATATATACATTTCATTATAATGAAATATAGATTTAATATATATTATATATAGATATGCAATATATTGTACAATTGCAAAGTAGCTTTTAATAAAACTACCTTTCTGCTGAGCTCTTGGTCCTAGGAACTAAGCAGCCACTGTACCATCTGTACCCAGTACCCCGGCTTGCTCTCCCTCAAGCAGCAGCCTGAGCTTAACAGGCCAGCTCTGAATCATAGTGCTAGGGAGCCCTTTTTTCTAGCTCTTTGCTTTACAACTTCATCTCTCTTTTGTGTAGCCCTTTGATTTTTTTCAAAGCTTTTACTGCAATGTAGTTACATGCATGTATTTACCTTGTAAGAATTCAAAGATATACACACACACGGCAATAAAGAAGGGGAATTAATGTAGCCAAGAAGGAGAGAAACAATGTGCATGATACAAGCTGTTCCACTGACCACTTTGGTCCAGGAGTCTGACATGGGAGATATGACTGCTTCCCCTCCAGCTACTCCTATTGCTCTACTATCTTTCTTTTTTAAGAATCTCCTCTTTTGAAGAGAAATTCTAATGTTTAAAGTACTTTGCCTTTCATACAACAAAAAAGTCTCGAAATGCAAACCAATTGCTTCATCTTACATTTAGCTGAAGGCTTGTTACAGAACTTGGAAAATGCTGGTTGTGTTGGACTTACCAGCAAGCTTTTGTCTCCTACATGTAATTTTACTCTTCATTAAGGTACTTTTACTACATTTGACTTTCATCATACTGGTTTTAGAATCCCCATGTAAAACAAAACTTTAATGTACTTCTCTGGGTCTTCAGAATCACCCCCATTAGGTGACCCAGACAAGTATTATTATCCATACTTGACAGGGAAGGAAACAGTGCTTCAGTGAGATTGTGACTTGCTAACTTATACCACTGACAAGGCGCAGTGTCATTCCAAGAATCCAGGGCTTTAGGCTGCAAGTCTAACAGTTTTGAACCCATATCACCACCTTCATATGCTGCCATTTTGCTTATCAGACAAAAGCATTATTGAGGACCTGGATTTTCCCTGAGTCTCAAGGAAGAGTCTCTCTGCAACAATAACATATCACCACAATGGGACCAGAAGCTCCTGCTAATGACTCTTGGCTCTTTCTTGATATCATCTTCCTTCTTAATTAAAAAGGAAAATATTTTCAGCCAAATATGGCAGCCTTGTGACTCTTACCTTGTAATCATACTCAGAATTTACTTTCACTGACAACCAAGCTGTCAGTTATTCAAGTTAGCCTTGGGAAGAGGGGACCCAGATGAGGTCAGATTATGAGGACAGGATTTCACAAACTCAGAGGGAGTTAAAATCCTGGAGGAAGCCTCCAATCAGCCTAGGCCAAAGGAAAAGGTCTGGTGCACTTCTAAGTCCACAATGCTCCAGGCACTCCCCAGGCATCTGTGTACATTTTGTCATCTCTGCCTTCTAGCTGCAGCCTTTGAAACACACTATCTCAATCCGTTAACCAACATAGCTGTTGCCACCAGAAACCATCTTGCAAAGAGCAAAGAGGTGATGAGGGTGCTGGCCAGTGCTCAATTCTCCATCCATAGGATCTCAGCACCAAATCAATTAAGACTTAACAGAATGATACTTTGAAATTGGAAAAGGTGCAAAGGGGTAGGGGTGGTGGGAGGGGAAGGGGAAAGGAAAGAAGAGAAAGGAAAAATTATAAGAAAAGAAAAAAATGGAAACGAAGTATGTAAATAGGGAAGGGTTTGGGGTGAAGGGCGCACAGGTAATGGGGAAAAATAAGAACCAAGATACATCGTGTTCAGGTACGAGCACCCAATGATAAATGTAAATGTATTGTATACCTAAAATGTACAAATAAAAGAACTTAAGGGAAAAAAAAAGACTTAACAAGTGTCACTGTCCCAGATATAGTAAGTACAATAGAAAGCATCCCATGTCCAATGCAGACTGCAGGCTGAGACTGGTCATCCCAGGCAGTAGGTACATACAATGGAAGGGAGAGAGACTATGTCCTGAGAATTATGCATTCCCTAGGACCAAGTTTCCTGGTTTCCTGACCTTCATGAGTTTCCATCCTATAAGAAGACACAGAAACCTAGTATGATAAATTCACAGGCTCTCGGCCAGTGCTTGCTATCCCAGCACTCTGGGAAGATGAGGCAGGAGGATCACAAGTTTGAGCCCAGCTTGGGCAACTTAGGAAGACTGTCTCAAAACCCAAAGAATTTTAAAAGGGTTGAGGATGGGAGGCAGAGCGTCAGGAAGGAGCCCCAAGGACCGGACAGAGTTGGAAGTCTCGGTGACAGGGAGCCAGTGGCCGAGGGATTCAGGCAGCGTTCATTCTCCAGACTCTGAAAGGAGCTCAGCCCAGCCGGCCAGCCCTGCACATCTGACATCCAGAACTGTCCTTCACCACACTGTCTACCTGGGACTCGTGCTTCAGGAAGAAAGGACGGATGATGCGGTTGTAGAGCAGCCATTAGAAGGACTCGAGGCCATACATCACAACATCAAGCCGCACTGCAGGGAGGAAGAACAGGCTCAGTGAGGCCAGAATCACTGTTCTCCACGCCCAAGTGCAGGTCCTGACGCTGCACAAGATGCAAGAGGTCCCTGGGAGGAAAGCCCCGGTGCGGTGGCCTAGCAGTGCGGAGATGTTCCCCGGTGCAGAGCAGGCCCTGGAGCAGGT